TTTTTTTTTTAGACAGAGTCTCACTCTGTCACCCAGGCTGGAGAGCAGTGGCAAGATTTTGGCTCACTGCAACCTCCGCCTCCCAGGTTCAAGCGATTCTCCAGCCTCAGCCTCCCGAGCAGCTGGGACTATAGGCACGCACCACCATGCCCGGCTAATGTTTGAATTTTTAGTAGAGACAGGGTTTCACCATGTTGGTCAGGCTGGTCTCGAATACCTGATCTGATCATCTGCCCACCTCGGCCTCCCAAAGTGCTAGAATTATAGGCATGAGCCACCACACCCGGCCAACCCACCCATCTTTTAAACTGCAGGTCACCAACTAGAAGGTACCAGTCAGAAAATGTTATGAACTATTCACTATTGTGCTAAAAAAAAAAAATAATAAAGGCACATATAATATATGAGATGGGTAGACGGTAAATAGATAAAAACAATTTTACTTTTCATCCAAAGAACCCAAATTAGAAATGAATATCCTATTCTGAGATTTTAAATAGTTTGTTGATTAGTAAAATATTTTTCACAAGTGAACTAGTGATGCATAAGAAGGAGGTGATGTTCTTTTCCCATTTGAGGCATTACGTTGTAAACAGGGAAAAAGTCTGTTGACCCATTGCCTGAAACATTTAATTTTTTTTCAGTTAGAAACCAATATATATGGCTGGGCACAGTGGCTCAAGCCTGTAATCCCTGCACTTTGGGAGTCTGAGGCAGGAGAAGCACTTGAGGCCAGAAGTTCAAGACCAGCCTGGCCAACATAATAAGGCCCAATCTCAAAAATAAAGAAATAAATAAAAATAAATATATTTTTTAAAAAGAAACCAACATATAGCAAAAGGTTAGTTTAGTAGTTTTTCAGGTTTTTGTTTTATTTTACTCTGTTGTTTTTTTTTTTAAAATAAAGTCAAGAGTAGTTATTTCTATTTGTTTTCAAGGGACCAGGTATAGAATTTTGCTAAAACCATGTTCCAAGGCATTCTGTTTGAGGTTCCTTCTAGATTCATGCCTTCTGTTCCTTCCCTATGTAACTCATGCCTTTAATCTTGTAATTCTGACTATGACTTTCATCTCAGGCTACAAGGCACATGAATAACATCCCCTAAGATTAACAGTAAAGCCTTTTCAAAACTGATGAACTGTTTACAAACTTAGGCAAGATGCCTCAACTCCTGGGCAGCATCAGCATGAAAACCTCGATCATCTGCTCAACCTGAGGCTCTGATTCAGGAGCCTTGTCCAAAGCTGGATCAAAGCTTTGTCTTAAGCTCTTTTGATAGCAAAAGGATAACACAGTCTCCAAAGCCACTCTGATTAAGAATCTCACTGGAAAAAAGAAAAAAAGAAGCTGTCAAATCATCTAATAAAGCTGTGCGTGCTGGTTTCTGCTCAAGAATGGTGAAACTTTAAAGTTTGAAAATATATTCAGACTCAATCATTCTCAGGGCCAGTCCTGCCTCAAATCTTAGCATAAATGGATTATAAAAGTTTAGGGTAATTACTGGTAATGCTAAAAGATATCATCAAATATTTCATACATTGCTAATTTCATGACTCAAAATATACTATATCAATGGTTGCCATGCTTCTTTGATAAGGTAAATTAAACAGGCCATCTAGTAAGCAAAAGCAATTATCCATTATTTTGTAGATCACTGAAATTTTCAGAACTTAGAGAAAAAAGACAGAAGATCCCTTCTGTCTTTAAAGTAAATTTTAAAAAACCGTAATAAATGTAAATGCACTTAGTGTTCTGGGCAAACACTTTTGTGTCCTCCAAGTACAGGATTTATATGTTTAAAAATGTTCATCTCTTTATGAGATGTAGCCTTTCTTGCCTTGAGATTTGCCGATGGAAACAGAAGGAGCTCAGCTTTGAAATGCACACTTGGAATGAACTGTGGTGATCACGGGCCTGCCTTGGTGCTTGATGGATGGACATTCTTCTAGAGGGTGAAAGAGAGTGCATCACATATGGTTGCAATTGACAGTCAGTAGTCAAGAAAGCGGAAGCAGATTTCAATGTAAGGAAGAAGTCATTGTGTTTTGAGGCATATAATCAAAATTAAAATTTCTAGTTGTATGATTAAATTAACATAAATTTAAAGCCAGCATCACAATTATCAGACAAGGTTAGTATGGTCTTCACTGAGGAAATCCATTCTTAGAGCTTCATGGATTGAAGAGTTTTCTCTAAACACCAGCTCACAATGTTTTCGTGTTTCTTGCCATATAGACTGAATTTTCTTATTTTCCACAGTCATAGTCCAGATGACTTAAAACCAACAATATATGCTTTTTAAAATGGGTGTAGAGTATATGGAGTCTGATCTCATCTCCCTGCCTTCGGTTGTGTCATTATATAACGTTACTTGTTTACAGCTGCACAATATTGGACCAAGTACGATCAGTGACACCCTCCTGGAGGTGGGCTGGCCTTTCTCTGCCCGGGATGAATTTCTTCTCTATATTTTCCATATTCAAACTCTGGGACCTCTGCAGTGTCAAACAAATCCTGATATCAATCCACAGGATCTAAAGGTAGGAGGCTGGTCTAATCAGTGGCTTTGTTCATTTTATTTTTATAACATGGAAAAAATACAAACTGGGCTTGTTTAAAAGAGAAGAGTGAAATCATTTTAAGTTGCTTCAATGATCATTGATCAGACCTTTTCGTTTTATAGTTAAAACATCAAGCCTAATTTAAAATATCACTCCTAAAACAACTTAAATTTATTTTAGTTTTATTGTTCATTGGGACTTGTTATTTATTTCACTCATTTTAATAGTCACCTTTTATTTTTGGCTCCATTAGCAGCACACCCAAGCCAAAATCATAAATAGACATGTCAAGTGTGGGAGAATTAGTATAAAATGCTATTTTTAAAGTCCTTTTGGTCTCTTGCCAAATTTCATAAGGATCTTTGCCAAAAGAGGCTCTTCCAGCTGCAACCCATAGCAAGTGGTGAACTGTGATAATTTGCCAAGGGCCATGAGAACTCCGAGGATGGAATGTTCTGGACCTATTCTTTAACTGATGCTTAAAGCCCAGAGCAGTGCTTTTCAAACTGCATCAGAATCACCTGGCTGTTAAAATGCAGGGTCTGGGGTTGGACCTGAGATTCTGCCTCTCTACAAGCTCCCGCCTCCTGTACATGATGCCAGTCTGTGGGGCCTGAATTTCATCTGATCCCAACTAGATTAAAATCCAAATTTGGCTCTAATGTCCTTCTTGGGAAAGAAAGATATGAATTAGCATAAGCCCTTGAAAATGCCACATTTGTATAAAGAAAAACAAAAGACAAAAACATCTTGTAGTCAGACATTGTCCTCAGGATAGAACTTCATGTAAGAACGAACATTCTCCTAGTAGCTACCAGGACACAGTGTCTCTGTTAGAAACGGTGCAGTGCAGGCTTCACGGAACACCAACGCCACCAGCCAGGACACAGCAGGTCTGCCCCTACCTCAGCCAGTGGCACTGGGTCATTGCTCATTATGAAAGCCATTCTTTTTCAACCCGATATGCCTTCTATTCAAAGGGAAGGCTAAACATGGGTTCATTAGTAAATGACTTATAGGTCAACAGCCTCCTTCTTTATGTGGAAATAATAAATAAGGCCACTTGTATTACATGAGACTCTTTAAAATACTTCCTTCCTGGATTTTTTTTTTCTCATTTCCTCTTTGCTCTTCATTGAGATGATTTTACATTCTTAAAGGACAGTAGCTTATTATAAAACAACATCTGCAAATGCAAATGTATAACATTTAAATAATTAAAACTTTTACATATTCTGCACTGCATTTAACACGTACTTGCAGTCATAGATTCTTTGAGCATGTGATTCTGCAGAAACTTCTCTTTTTGAGTGTGATGTTTAGTTTATATCTGACACTATTTATATATGTTTGTATATATTATGTAACTTGTTTAATATACACCATGTTGATTGTGAGTTATTTGTTTCTTTGGGGCATACAGTGACTGGGATAGTACTAATAGATGACTTGTCTTAAATGTTGACAGATTCTTGAAAACTGAGCAATAGTATATACTAAGCACCTGGTGTTCCCTGCTCTCCACTTATTCTTTAATGTATAGACTTGAAGTAAAATTCTGTCTGAGGCTAATAATTTTTAAAATGCAATTCAATTATATTCATTTTCCTAAAACTTTCAATCTGTGGAAATTAAATATAAGATTTAAATACAATATGAAGTACTATCTCCCTTAAATAACTAATCATAGCAATGTGTGAATTCTTGAAATTCTAAATTTATAGAGAAGTTGAAATGTTATTACTTTCAGTTTCTCAAAGTACTTTCACCTGTACTTCATAAATGCTCCAGAGAGTCTAAAAGAGCTTTTATTAATAGACATTTAAAAAACAGATAATCAAGAGAGTTTATATATTAGTGGCTGCAACAAACTGAGAGTACTTGAAAATTATTCTCCTCTTACAACAATAAATAATTTTTTGGTGAAGTTGTTACTAACTTACTTGGCAATTTAATTTTTCCTAGAGAATGCAAAGATAATCTTTTCTTGGTCTTAAATATGACTTGGTCTTTAGTGAAAAACAATCTCTTACCTGTTGTTGTCTTCAACATAATAGATCTGAGAAATTTTTTAACAACAGTTTTAGATTCAAATTAGCATAAAAATGAATTGCTCTTAAAAAAACAAGACTGTGCCATAGCCAGGCACAGTGATGTGTGTCTGTAGCTACTCAGAAGGCCAAGGTGGGAGGATCACTTAAGGCCAAGAGTTTGAGGTCAGCTTGGGCAGCAAAGCAAGACTCCATCTCTTTTTAAAAAAATTGTCTAGTTTTATTTTTAGTAGGAAGCAGAGAGAGGATGGGCTTATGAAAATAAACAGGGAGGAGGCAGAAATAACATTTGTAAAGGCAAGAATTCAATTTAAGTATCCAATCTTACTTACTGGAGAAGTGAACTAAGGTTCAATTCCTGACTATTTGGTTCTATCATTTCTTTTTACGAGTGATATAGGTAGTAAATGTCTCATAAAACAGTTGCATCTATGAGCAGTTCATGTCTACAAGTCCTTCCCCCTTTCTGAAGATGCTCCAGTCCCCACTGGACTAGCCTCCAAAATGTCCCAGGTCACCATGGACCTGTCAGAGGGGAGCTCTCACTCCAGCTTTCTAAGCTGAGGGATTTGCCATTTTCTTCTTATGTTTTCCTCTTCATCATTCCATTGATTTCCTTTCAGCAAAATCCCCTTCCGTGGTGTTCAGATCCACTTTGTAGTCAATGTCCCCCTTCCTTATGTGTTCTCAGGTTGTCCACGTCCCACTGGAAAGACACTCTTTTCTTCATTACCTTTTCCTAACCCCTCACAGATCTCTAGGGAAACTTGTGAAAAATAATCCAGACTTCCTAAGAAGCATTTTCAAGGTCACCCACTCCGGGGAACCATTGCCACTAACTCTAAAGCCTTCAGAACTTCCCAAATACACCCTGAGAATCCCGACAAGTTCCCACATACTTCATTTTCCTCAATTAAACTTATTTCCACGTGAATATCAGTGCTGAATGTAATGTACTTAACAAATGGATTTTTTTTTCTATTTTTTAAGTTACTCATATGGCAGCGGTCCTGGACATTGTTATTTTCCTTACAGATACGTACTTTTACAGCATCAAAGCCTGATTGAGGATTAAGTTGGGTTTTTGTGGATTGGCTTGAGAACTGAAGCACCATTTAAAATATCATTTCTAAAGAGAAATGCATTCTGAGTGCCAAACATCTAGCCTAAAACCTTCTGAAATATAACCAGTTCGTAACTTGGATATGCACTCCAAATACAACAAAACCCTGAAAATTTTATCACATAAGTCTCAGCATCTGATAAGACCCAAAAAGGCTGAGGGTTTTTTTCACAGTAGAAACTGGTTACAGTTTGGTTATCCCAGCAAGTTACCCTGATATCCCCAAAGTTTCGGGAGGAGACATTGACTACTTGTGAAAGCTACTGCTGGGAGCATCCTGTAACCTATGGTCGCTTTAGAAAACACTGGTGAAAAGTTCTCACCCACAACCACCTCACTTGTTGTCCAAACACAGAGCTGTAGCAACTAAATGGGGTGGGGCAGGGGCGACCACACACGGATGCTTCTAAAAGTCAGTGAGTTCTTATTCTGAATATCTGTCTTAGACCAGGTGCATGGCTCGTGCCTATAATCCCAACTCTTTGGGAGATCCAGGTGGGGGGATCACTTGAGGCCAAGAGTTTGAGAGCAGCCTGGACAACATAGCAAGACCCCATTTCTGCAAAAAATAAAAACAAATTAGCCAGGCATGATGACACATGCCTGTAGTCCCTGGAGTCCTAGCTGCTCAGGAGGCTAAGAAAGGAGAATTACTTGAGCCCAGAAGTTGGAGGCTGCAGTGAGCTGTGATCACATAACGGTGCTCCAGCTTGGGCAACAGCATGACATCCTGCCTCTTGTATCAGGGTTCATGGGATTCACTCAGCTTGGTTTGTCAACATTTTCAAACCTCAGGGTGTGAGGGAAGGTGGAATCAGGGTTAGGCAAAGGGGTGGGGGCTGGAGTGGATCAGGAAAGGCTGGCTGAGCCGCACAGCCAGTTTCTTTCCCCTGTGAGTTGGCCCCAAGGTCCAACTGAGGTCAGCGTAGGGGTATGGAAGTGCCTTGGGGCCATCCCTTCCTGCTTTCTCGTTTGCCTCCCAATGAAAATGTTTCTTCGAGTTTCTGTTTTTCCCGTGATAGTTTCTGCTTCATCAGGTTCAGCTGTGTTTTCTGTAAACTTAGGGGCATAAGCAGATGTCCAGGGAGGGTCTCCCTTCAGGCTTCATGGTCTAGGTCAGAGGTAGAGGATTTTAACATGGCACCTAATTCACATCGTATCATCTACAACATTTTGAAATGTTCAGCTATCTGCAGCATCCAAAGCAATCCATGAGGGCTAATATTTTCCAGATCCTTCTTGGAATAAAGTTTTGGAGTTGAGTAAAGTATTTCTCAGCTAATCTAAAGGCAGTACAGTAATCATTTCATACTATCAATTTTCTTATTTTGGTGGGCTTTATCCTAGGGTTTGGAGAGTCCTGCATGCGGACTGTGATCTTTAGATGAGGTTGAAAAAGTAAAACCTATTGAAGAGCCAAAAGTTTCATAATAAGTAGAGGATCTTTCTTTCCTTTCTTTCTTTCTTTCTTTCTTTCTTTCTTTCTTTCTTTCTTTCTTTCTTTTCTTTCTTTCCTTTCTTTCTTTCTTTCTTTCTTTCTTTCTTTCTTTTCTCTCTCTCTCTCTCTCTTTCTTTCTCTCTCTTTCTTTCCTCCTTCCTTCCTTCCTTCCTTCTTTCTTTCTTCTTTCTCTCTCTCTTTCTTTCTTTGTTTTTCTTTTTTTGTTTTTTTGAGTTCAATTTTTTTTTTAATTTTATTGCATTTTAGGTTTGGGGGTACATGTGAAGAACATGCAAGATTGTTGCATAGGCACACACGTGGCAGTGTGATCTGCTGCCTTCCTCCCCATCACCCACATCTAGCACTT